TGACGGTTACAATTTTCGGGAATTTCGGAAATCTATGTTAATATCATATTATTCATATTATACATATTATTAACAAATTGTTTGTGTGGATTTTGTTTTATACACAGATGTGGTAGTAACATACATGTAGGTTGATTGAATGTGGACTGAGTAGTATGACTTCTTTACCAGCATTAGGGTATTCCCTACCCAGCAAGTCAGCTAATTATTCTTGTTGAAGTTAGCAGGATGCTATCTCATAAGTCAAAATATTTTTACTCAAAGTAATTTTGTAATATGTTTTTTTTTTCATTTAGTGTGCCAAATAAAAAGAAAAATATTTCTGCAAGTGGAAACTGACAAGGACTGTCTAAACACCGGTGTAATGTTGTTCTTTAAATCTGTGCTTGGTTATTTCATGCAATAAAAGTATTATTACCGAATATGTAAAAATTACATTAGATCATTATAAAATACTTGTCTTAAATCCTGGGAGTAGTATGGGTGTGATAAAGCCTCAACAGCCTTTTATAATAAGGATCCCTGTACAGAGCACAATGGGGTCATAGATGACCCCACTTGGTCATTTCAGTCACTAAAATAGCTTGGTCTCTTGAGGGTTAACGAAATTTATGATTACAACATCGGCTGCCCCTGATATTCAGTCAGTCGTGCAGTGCTGACGGCCCAAACTGACCATACTGACCACTGCTTGGCCTTTCTGTGACCAGCCTTCGGTATGCCGAGCATGCACACAGGACACACGTGCATTGAATTTCGTTTAGAGGCGCCACCATGTGATTCCTGTATGTGCTATATATCATATTCAACGCAGGTGCCCCACTTACGGTTGCGATGTGCTACTTTCCAGGCTAATTAGCTTGGTTAGCAGGTTTTACAATAATCGAGAGGAGTGCTCGAAAAAGGGGTTGGACGCGATCGCACGGTAGGGAGAGAAGTGGATAATCTCTACAGGCCTTTTCACGTCCAGCGGACTTGTATAAACGATACATCTGTATAGGCTGTGATCGTGCACTTTCCTACAGGTACCTTCACCCGGTGTGCTCTCCCTGCGCGGAGAGCGCGCAATTACGGTAAGTACTGCGCATACCAGGTGGAGAGACCAATTTCCCCGCCTGATCCAGGTGAGTTATCATCAATCAATTACCGTGCAGACGTGCACGGCAACAGAGAAGACAATTTACATAACTGTTACGCACAGCGATCTGCATTCTCACCCGTAAGTGGGAACTCAGGAGACTGACAACTTATGGCCTGCCTATTAAGCTATTACGTTAGGGCTGTTTCATGTTATTGCCATTTTCAGGGCAGAAACCTCCAAATCAACCAATCAGCACCTGTTATAGCCGAATATAGTTCAGTGAGAAAAAATGAGTGCTTTTTTCCATTTTTTTCCTGGCATTTCTTGTGTGTTGCTAGGGTTAATTTTGGTATCAACTAGCAGAGTAGGGTGTTAACTACTGCCAGTTTTTTTTTCAGGACCAGGCACAGGTGCAGTGCAGTCGTGAGACCTCTGGCGGAAGGGTCTACTGACTGTGAGTGGTGCAGTGGTTTGTTTACAAACAGAGGGGTGCACATGTTCAAGTGATGCCGGTAAGACAGCGGAGTTGATGACAGTATATTTTTTTGCCATTTGGAGTTATGTCAGTGTGTCTGCTGTCCATGGAGATGGGAAATGTTTCCCAGAGTTATTTTCTTTATGCAGTTTTGCAGGCATTTCTTAGTATGGTCGTCAATGGGAAATATTTTGGTGGTTTCTCCCCTGANGTGGGGAAAACACACTAGTACTCTGTCCATACTGAACAGTTCACCTAAAATCAAGTAACTCGTATCTTTGTACCTACAATGAATATATTTGTTGTACTATACTGTTGTTGTGACACTTTCTCATGACATGTCTAGCCTGTTAAGTGCATGTCTTTCAAAGTGCACAGACTGTTTATTATTTTATTATTATTATAATTAAGACGAAATACCATTTCAAATTGGACAGCAGAATAGATCTGATCCTCTTTTGCAGTGTGAGCGTTGCTTAAGAACCCGCCTTGTCTTTAGCTCAATGAAAATGGATAAAATATTTAAATCGGCAAATTAATATATAAGTATAATTGACATCATACACATAACAAAATCTGTATTATTTCATGCACCATATATCTGAATATAATTTACTAATATTCATTACTGATACAGACAAATCTCAACCGTCAGGAAATAAGAATGGAATCCTTTTGTGTTGACCAAGAAATCGAGACAAGCCGGTTCTGGCATGATTTGCTGCAGGGACTGAGTTTTTGCAATTTGCCGGAAACTGAAGATAGAACTCAGGTAAGGCAGTATATCGAAAATACATACTGGTATACTTCAAATGTAACTTGTATGCAAGCGATTTAGCAGCAAATGAGCTGTTGCGAATAAATATTACATGAAACCCTAACAAGCCTCTTGTTCCATGCCGTGTGTTAAATGAACAAGCTGCAGGACGAGCGATTTGCGTAATTAATCTGTATGTGTAATCCTCTAGTGAAACCGTGGCACGATGATGCTTCCAGGAAAACTGTCCAATTTAATTTACAGAATCCGCGACCTAATCCCACAGTTGAAGAGATCACGATGGTGGTACTGGGGGAACCTCTCACCTTTCTGAACCTGTGTTTAGAGGGTGGGAAGCAGTGTCCTGGTGGTATGTTACTGGTACCCTCTTTAGCATGGCTTCAGAAAGAACCCACCAATGAAAGAGATCTGCAAACCTTACGAGTACACAAGGCTGTCACATTTGACTCTTGTGGTCGAACATTTTTGGACATCTTCACCCCACCTCGTCGTGTCTCTTACTTTATGAACCTTGTCACAGGTAATGCCTGTCAATTAACAGTGATAAGATGTCAAATAATTTTTTATATACTTACACACCTATATTTACATATTTTCATATATCATTCAAATTGTTACTGCTTTTGATCCATGCTTTTAGCGTCATGATGTACGTCAGTACACGCATGTAGGGTTCATTGTTTTCAAATAATTTAAATCCATTATGTATTAACTTATTATTCATTTTTTATAAATGATGATGATAACAGATAAAAGTTATCTGACAGGGAACGAGAAAGCAGAAGCACGCTTGCCCAGTAATAACTTTCTAAACTTCGAGAGGGATTTAGAATGTCCAGTTGGAGTCACAGAGGAGATAGCGAAACGTTTGGATGATCGAATTCTCACGCGTATTCTGGTGGCGGACGCTGGCGTTGCCTATCCCGACACGCTCGCATTCCCGTTCAGACCAAAGATTTCCTACAACTTGGGAGACCATGATATTTCGGTGGTCTGTGTAGAAAATAAGGAGGACGGAAAAGAGACTGTAAGGAATGAACTAGGCGGGTTTCTTAAGCGTCTGTTGAAGAAGGGCATTGAGAAGGTATATGCTGTTTTGGTAATTTTGGTCGTCGTTTTTTTTGTGCGTGTAAGAGAGAGAGAGAGAGAGAGATCGTTTCAGTTTCGTTCACACTGACAAGTCCTATAAAACCGTTAAACGTTGCACGCTTTAAAATGTCGCTTTACAGCGGAGTTTTAAAATATTGTTGAAGGTAGTTGTCAAAGTGCCTGGGCCTGCATTATCAAGTGTGTCTTACCATTCTGCCCATGACCAAGATGGCGTCTACGGCGCCGTATGTCAAGGTCTGGATGTCCTGGGAGAGGGGAAGAGCATCATTGTGGAGGCATTTTGTGAGACCCTTAAACCACTACCTGTCCCTCATCTTGACTATGAGGAACAGGCAGGTACGTTTTTTTTTATTATGATATATATAAATATATTTTTGATGTTTAAAATACAGTCAATTTTGTTTTATTCATTTCCGTGGTTGAACGTTTGCCAAGTTAATTTTATTGTATTTTTAAATGTTGGTATACATATATGTATACATTTTAGTTGGCATGAAGACCCAGGCGTTGTCTTGCACAATTCGGGCTGTCGTCTGTTGCACTCCCAACGGGAATCAGCTGGTTTCAGACATCGTCTGCGGCGTCGCTAACGCGGACAGACCGCTCCACGGAGGCAATGCGCTACCACTGTCACTAGCGGGCTTTCTCAGTCAATGGGGTTTACAAGAAAGATCCCAAAGTGAAAAGGTGAGTGTAAGCACATTGTAACGTGTACGCCAGAGCCTAGATTCACTAAATACTTCTCGTTCTTTGCTGAGGATGCTATGAATCAGAGCCGGCTAAGCGCAATTTGCTAGAGATGTAACGGACCGCTTACAGTGTAACTCTACATTCTTTCGGTTTGGAGCAGAAAATAACCTACGGACTGAATCTTTTTGAATAGCTGACTTTACGAGTTAAGCAGTTTAAAATTCGCTTCATCTCCCTTTCTTTTTCTCTCTATTTTTATTTATTGTGAAACGGGTGTCCGTTATTTTTTTTACTGTAGCAGGTATTTATTATTAGTCAGCGGAGTGACCCACTGTTTGACATGTTACTTTTTATGTTATTAAACAGATAAGCTCAATGGTCAAGGCGAAGGCGGAAGTAATATTAGAAAACTGGATGAGGTACGAAAGCAGCTTGAAGGAGGAGGAAATCGGGGGATCGTTGATGAGAACAAACGTACTAGGTAAGCAGTGAAATAGTTGGGTTCTAGACCATAATTCAACGGCACACTTTGGATGTTCTGAGTGAAGGTGAATAAAATGGTCTTCGGTAAAAATCCCCATCCAAAGTAACCGTTGATTGCTCCCAGGTATGTAACGTATCCAAAAGTTCTTATAAATATCAATCAAACATAATGATTCCATATTTTGTGTAAATTCAGGTTGAACAAAACCCCTTACATGTTTCGCATCGTCTTTAATTGTGAACACAGAATGGGTCAGTGTTACTATCATAACGTACAATGTAGCCTACTTACGCCAGTTCGCCTGGGAATAGTTTGCTGACGCATGATATTTTCAGGTGTCAATTTTGTCCTGACCTATCAAGAAGACGGCAGTTATGACACCATGGCTGTAAGTATCAGTAACAGCAGGAAAACCATCTCAAACTCGCAGATTCACGAGTTTCAAAACCTCTCAAAGCTTGGAAGCAGCGTGCGGCCCCTGGTGGCAACCATGGTCAACTGCAGTCAGCGGTTCCTTCTTCAAGGAAAGCATATTCTACTTATAGGCGCGGGGGAAGAATTTGTTTGGGAAGCTGTGAGAGAATACAATGTCAAAGTAAGTGTTGAAAGATTAGGAAAAAAACCAAAGTTTACACACGCCCAAATTAAAAATATATATGTACCACTACAATACCAACATTGATTTAATTTTTCATTAATTTCTTTCATTCTTTGTATGACTGTTTTTTATTGTTTAACGGACACCCCTCATTTTGTTGCTCTGTCAAGAATATTATTGTCTCTATTCTGATAAAAAACTATCATGGCCAATGTTTTGATGTCATTTTAAAGATTTTAAATATTAGCAATGTATACATGACCAGATATTGAATCAGAATTGAAGCATTTTTTTTAGCCAGAGCGTTTACATGTACAACGAGGCTTGTACAGCTTAATCATCATAAAACGTTGTGATATCATCCTCCAGATAACCTTGGCTGATCGGGATCCCAACAATAAGGCAGATAAATGCGTCCACAAGTTTATTCAGTGCGAAATAGGAGATCGCAACAACGAGGATATCAATGCAGAGAAAATTGTTCAATTAGCACGTACACATGATTTACCCATAGACGGCTGCATGACCGTGGTGGACGATTACGTCCCTTTGACGTCACTGGTGTGCGAGGCACTGCGCATGGTCGGAAGTACACCTGAAGCTGCAAGAAAGTCCAAGAAGAAAAGTCTCAGTCAAAAATCTTTAGAACAATCAAGAGTTAATGTGCCTTTTTTGCCCAATCCGTCTCTGTTTGCTGTCAAGACGCACGGAATTAGTCAACCAGAAGATGTGACTGGATCGTCAAACCATATCCAGTATCCAGCCCTATTGAAGCCCGAGTTCGGGGCATGTTCCTATGGAGTCAACTTAGTCAAAGATGAGGCAGAATGCATGAGATACTTTGTTAACACCAAGGATAGCGAAAAAATGACAAACGACCCACCTTTTGGGAAGAACCACGGGAGCGCGATGCACTTGACCGAATATGCACAGGGAACAAAGCACGGAGTTGAGATCGTCGTGTACAGGGGGAAACTTTTAGCGGCGTTCGTCTCAGATTGTGGTCCAACCCGCATCCCGCAGTTTTTTGAGACCTCAACTTGTATGCCGTCGTGTTTAAACCTCGAGAGGCAGAGGCACCTGATAACAGCAGCCTTCCAATGTATTAGCGGCGTGGGTCACACGGACGGAGTATTCAACGTCGAGTTTAAAATGACACCCACGGGTCCCAAACTGATCGAGATCAACGGACGAATGTGTGCCTGGTTTTACAGGAACTGGGTGCGCACCGTGTACGAAACGGACATCCTTTTCCTTAATTTTCTGATCGTTTGTGGGATCCAACCAAACGTCCAGCCATTTGAACCAACTTGTCAGCTCATGGCGATTTTATGCTCTCCTGCAGCCCACTCTAAGGCGTTGTCGCGACCGGGAATTGCCACACCGGAGATCCTCGCAGAGGCACACGAGCGAGGCGAGATAATTTACTATGAAATGGAACCCCTGAAGGAGGAGAACACGGACAATGAGTGCGGCTTTTGTGCGATATCTGTAAAGGAGAAATCCGTAAGTGAGGCAAAAAAGCAGCTGTTGGCTGTATGCAGGAAATATGGTGTTGACACCCAAGAGCACCCTGCAGAGTACGTTCTGTCTACGTTCGTACAATCGCCGTCTTATTAATGGAAATGGTACCTTAATTTTGAAGATTATGAAGGAAATGTCAATGTTGTGGGAAAAATGTATCGAACCTGAGATACGCCAATAATGTAGTCCTTTTTGCACGCTTTGTGTTCAAACCACAAGTATCGGTCGACAGGATGAGAACAGAAAGCGAGAAAGTTGGTCTTTTTCTAAACGCTTTAGAAAAAAATCAAAAAGTGATGAAAATACAGAGAGACTGAGGAAAACGATGGGAACAGCCATATCCTGATCAATACCGAAAAAGCAGAAAATGTGAAACAATTAATCTATCTTGGTGCAATATTCACTGACCATTACGATGACACTCCGGAAAACATATCTCTTAACACAAAGAAGAGAATGCTCAGCTTTCAGATTTTTCTATTGCTTCACATGGCGCGGAATGTTGGTTTGTGAAAAACTCAGACATGAAGAAATAAGACATTTTGAATTATAGTGCTATTGGCGTGGTCTTATTATGGGAACAACATACAGAGGCAGTCTGACGGAGGTCTGTGGGTCAATGCTTTAAGCAGACAGAATGATCACAATCGTGACCGGTGGAGAGTTTTTGCGAGGGGGGTGCGGGAGGCTTTCTAGCTTTGAGTGCATGTGTACAAAAAATGTACTAAGTGAACTTAACTTTTTCTACCAGGGCAAATAAGGTCTTCAGAAGAGCATATTTTCAAATCTTATGTTAGATTTGATCGAAACGTTTTTTACCATAAATACCGTTCTATATATATTACATGTATTAAGCCAGATGTTTTTAACACCAAGGCCTGTCTGAATACTCTCCATAAGATGTACGTGGACATATACACCCTGCAGGTGTATTTTATATTCAGCGTCAACGCTGAAAGTCATTTATTGTGTCTGGATTGTATATAGTAACCAATGGTTACAGTTACTAAAAATCCGTATATATATGACTATATATATAGTAAACATAGGGTTACAGTTACTGCAAATCCGTATTCGTGACTAATTTTAAACGCACATACATGTAGTATTGGTGCAGAATATATTAGATTTATTTAAATTTTAGCTATAACAGAATAATGGTCTTTACTAATGAACAAATTCTGAACGTTACACGTTAGTGTTTAGATAAAGATTTAAAGTAGAAATCCACTTACAGCTTAGTACATGTATATATACTTACTTGATATTTGCTTTTTTGTACTCGATTTTCATATCATGACTTTAATGCACATGCAGAGCACTTTCGTGTTGTCATCATTGAAAATATCGTACATTTTAAAAGCAAATGTGAATGGACATCATATAATAAAAAATAAACAAATAGTTTTATACAATGTCCATCTAGCCTGACATGGATCAAAAGGGTATGTAACCTTTAAAGGAGACACACTACATTGAGTTGAAGTAATGACAGCATTTACGCGACAATTTGTGCATTTTTCGAGGGAATTCTGTGTAAAGAGCTGGTATCCATTTTGACGATTACCCGAACCGTAAGGTCCTACGGCACACCCTCACTCCTCATCACAAATAAAATGCTTATATATATTGAAAAATGAATAAAACTGGACACAAACTGTTGAATTGGTAAAATGATATATTACGAAGAACGTCTATTGAAAATACACTGGTACCTTTAAATCGACTGGACGAGACGTAGTCGAAATAATGTTTTAAAATTCCGTATCTCTATTTTTGTCGTTAGTTCGGATTTCTTGAAAATTCCATGCAATGTATAGCTCAATATCGGCTGCATGGTACGGGGCTATTAAACGTGGCGCTCTCACCGTAGGCTTATATCTCTAGCTTTGTACCGGGGGAATGTACCAAGTCCCAAGCGTATTATAACCTGACTTTATTAATGAACTAGAAAAGCACTACGAGAGCGCAGACCTCCGCCAAGGCAGCAAAGTCTCCACTCAATGCCGTTTCGCCTCTAAAAGTTCATTCTATAATGATTTAGTTTTTTGATTATTGATAATTGATCGATTAATGATCCGGATCACCACCAAAAACCAATCATTTGTTGCTGGCAAAATTCTGACAGTTCCAATAAATTTCATCAAAATCGGTCCAAAACTTAGTTCTTTTATTTTTGATTATTGATTGATTATTGATCCTGATCACCACCAAAAACTAATAATCTGTTGGCCCACTTCTGACAGCTCCTGAAAATTTCATCAAAATCGGTCCATAACTTTTTCTGAAATGTTGCTAGCAGGCAGACAGACAGACAGACAGATAGACAGACAGACAGACAAACTAACGGAACCAAAAACATAACCTCCTTGGCGGAGGTAATAACTAGCTTGAAACATACACTTGGGAAAACCTTATTGAGGTACCTATTTTGATAATTAGAATTATCTTCAAGAGATTTTTTGTGGAAATTTGCATCTCCAAATTACATAAAGCTGCTTGCGTAACATGCATGGTTACGTTGTGTGTGACACATGCGCAATGGGATCGTGACTTTTAACACGTTGGCCGTCTCATCACTGTGTTCATATATCAGTAATATCTGCAGAGCGTAGGAAGTCAGAGTCTTAAGGTTGAGGGCGACATATTATTTTTTGAAGACCCGGGAGGCGTTTTCAACGTTCTTTATTTTTCGTGAAACTTAACAACAAGGTAAGAATTTTAAAGTGAAATGAGGGATATTTTCCAGATGATTTTGCCATTTTCAATTCCGACATATTGACATAGTTATGGTCTCATCCAATGCTTTAATATACATGTAGGTATTACCATGTGGGCAACACTAAAATTTTCGTGTGTACGAATGAATGCGTTTAGCAAATACATACCTATGTAAGAGTTACATTTATCATAAAATACCATTTAAACCCATTTTCTCTCAGTAGTTTGTAGTGCAGTTTGCGAATGAAATGGGATTGGGAAAACGTGAGAGTTCACAAAGCAATGTGACGTTATACAGCATTTTTTTTTGTGAAATCGAGGATCCAAAAAAGTAGAGAAACGAAGTTTTGACGCCAAAATGCCTACTGTAAATTTTTAGAAATGTTTCATAGTCTATAGCACTGTGTCTTCTGTAAAGAATGATCTGGAAAATTCGAGAACGGATCGCTTGAAAGCAGACGTAAATCTTGCCACTGGGGGGTTAACATGTAACGATCTATGTTATTGCTAAATATGCAGCAACCCCTAGGATCTACATGCACTTTTTACTCTGTACTTTGTACTCTAGCCGTCTGTCTTGTGCTCTCTTCTATGTTCTGCCTCCTAGAAATCATAAATGCACGGAAAATAATCATGAAAACGACTGCTTTCACAAACGCATTATTCGGCGACTAAGGTATGAAGGTACCTCTATGTTCTATTTGATAATGTATAAGACTAAATTACATTGATCCAAATCCAATACCAACTTGTTCTCAACCCTGATGCATACCCCTCCGTGCATTAGAAAAATGCTGTAACATACAAATGGCTGTATACTGTCATTACACCTACCATTAACAGACAACCTGCATATCATAGACTGGTTTCACCAAAACATGAAAGTTCTAAAATGACAACATACTGTAAAAGCTACCTTGCATACGTAACCTATAGTAAAGAAAAATCTGCGGAGAATGTTCTGTCGTTCCCTATTTAGCGCTTTTAACCAAATTCAGCAACATTCATTCAAGGTTGATATGATTCATTTATACTATTAGGCTAGAAAAATGGACCACTGCTCTTTGCTGGAAGAAGTCAAGAAAAGTCAGTTTTGGCATGATTTGCAGCAAGGACTGGGATTTTACAACCTGCCAGAAACCGTAGAGAGAACGCAGGTAATGTAAAATTATTAAATTACCATAAGTTAATCCGGAAAGGCCCAAGTGAAGCCTTCCTCAACTCTCATAAAAATGGATCTTTTTCGTCCATGTACCTTGCATCTTAGTTCTTCAGTCAAACCAATGGAAGTAAATTATCTGCTGATGTTAAAAATGTACATGTACCTTGTCGTGTGTATTCTTACAGTATGTCAATACATTTATCGTTTTGTAAAAAAAGAAATGCATAATGAATTAATCATGCACTGTCTAGTCTGAGGACAATTACTTTTCTGTTAAAAATAATGATGGTACATAAGATGCTCTTAAACCACACCACCACCACAAATGTTTACAGAATCGGCGGACTAAGTCTACGATTGAAGAGATCACGATGGTGGTACTGGGGGAACCTCTCACCTGTCTGAACCTGTGTTTAGAGGGTGGGAAGCAGTGTCCTGGTGGTATGTTACTGGTACCCTCTTTAACATGGCTTCAGAAAGAACCCACCAATGAAGGAGATATGCAAACCTTACGAGTACACACGGCTGTCACATTTGACTCTTGTGGTCGAACATTTTTGGACATCTTCACCCCGCCTCGTCGTGTCACTTACTTCACGAACCTTGCTACAGGTATAATATCCAGAAGTTAAATATTACATCATGTGACAATAGCTGTCATCGTGTATTTATTCATTCAGCTTTCTGTTTGTTTGATTATTAATTTTCACATACATTTTCGAAACCTGTCAATATCTTATTCATTTTATAATCTTACCACAAGATTATTGTCTCATTAATTAATTGTTTCAAGTATCTTTTTCGTTCAATTGTATATTTCCACTGTATATCTTTCTATTACTTATGCAACTTTATATGTATATAATTATGGGCATTTCTAAAACAGAAAAATTCCTTAGCCGTCATTTTCTGGATTTAGTTGAAATGAAATACATATCTTATTGCAGATGATGAGAAAAGAAAGGTATGCATGCGCAGTTACAACGTGGATTTTGAAAAAGATTTAGAATGTCCACTGGGAGTCACGCAAGATTCAATAAAGAGTTTGGATGATCGAATCCTCACTCGTATTCTGGTTGCGGACGCTGATGTTGCCTTTCCCGATACGCTGGCATTTTTGTACAGATCACGAATGCCTTATAACCATGAGAGAAGCAATATTTATGTGGTCGCAATTGAAAATAAAGAAGACGGAAAAGAAAAGATCAACAAAGAACTGGCTGCATTTATAAGTTCCTTGCTTGGAAAAGGGATGAAAAAAGTAAATGTTAATAAGTCTCCTCCCTCTCTCTCTCTCTCTCTCTCTCTCTCTCTCTCTCTCTCTCAAAATCAACAAAAAAGAATAGTTGGTGGATTTTATTTTACAAAATTCATTTTCTTTTTAATCAAATGATATTTCATTTTTTTGTGAAAAGACAAAAGCCGCAGAAAAAGAAAGCGAGAGCGAGACAGAGAAAGCGGGAAGAAGGGCGAATAAAATTTATTTCCTCGAAACTCATTTATCAACGATCATAAAATTAACATTCAGCCACCCTCTCTCCCTACTTGATCATGTTACGATCCCAGCCTTTTCTATGCTGTATATGCATGTGCATGTCGGACGTTCATAAATACAATGCTCACAAAATAACGTTATTTTGTTAGGTAGTTGTCAAGGTAGGCGTGCGTGCATCAGGAAAAGTGACCTACCATTCTGCTCAAGACCAAGCCGGCGTCTACAGTGCCGTATGTCAAGGTCTGGATGAGAGGGAGAGTATCATTGTGGAGGCATTTTGTGAGACCCTTAAACCATCACCGGTCCCTCATCTTGACTACGAGGAACAGGCAGGTACGTTTCGATATTAGAAACAGCAAAATATTATCGTTTCTAAAACTATCCATTTCTAAAACTATCCATAATGAGTTAATAGTACGGCTGCGCTTTCCAATTTCATGTATATCTAAAATATATATCCCATGGTTTACTCATAACGAGATCACACAACAGCTTAATCAGCATTATTGTTTTTTTCTTCTGTTGAATGTATGAAACAAGTACTGTAAGTGCACATTATTTATCTTTAGTCGGCATCAAGAGTAAGGATTTGTCCTGCACAATCCGAGCTGTCGTCTGCTGCACTCCCAACGGGAATCAGCTGGTTTCAGACATCGTCTGCGGCGTTGGTCACGCGGACAGAACGCTACATTGTGACAACACTTTACCAGTGTCACTGGAAAGTTTTCTAGTTCAATGGGGGTTACAGGATAGATCCCAGATTGAAAATGTTCGTTTTTGAAGGAAAATATTATTATTGAAAACTTTTGGTGTTTCGAGTTGATTGATGTTAATGCAGAGATTTTATTAGTTGGATTAATATTTTCCAGTGTTCTTTGTCAGTTTTCACAGGGAATAGCTGTTGTCGTTTGTCGTTGGAGTATGCTGCCCCCCCCCCCCAAAAAAAAAAAAAAAAAAAAAAAAAAAAAAAACTGTGAAAGTATTAAAAGGATATTATTTATTTAATTTGCAGATCCGTTCAATGATCACGAAAAAGGCGGAGGATATATTACACGTTTGGACGAAGTACGAGGTGTGTATGAACAAAGAGAAAAGCGGAGGATTTTTGGCAGAAACAAGCATAATAGGTAAATTTGGGATGAAGTTAGGTTAAACAAAATCATGTGCATGAATATGTTTGAAATCAATATTGTAAACATTCTGTATTAACTTGGTAGACACCCCCCCCAAAAAAAAATACGAACGAAAAATGCAACACAATCGTCTTGCTTTGTCTTGATTGCAAATCGATAAGACATATTTTTTTATATATTTCAGGTGTCAATTTTGTCTTGACAGAGCAAGAAGACAAACGTTATGACGCCGTGGTTGTAAGCGTCAATAACAGCAAAAAAACCATCGCGAACACGCAGACCTACGAGTTTCAAAACCCGACCAAGCTTGGAAGTTGCGTCCGACCCCTGGTGGCAACCATGGTTAATCGTAGTCAGCGGTTCCTTCTTCAAGGAAAGCAAATCCTTCTAATTGGCGGAGGGGAAGGAGTAAACAAAAAGTTTGTTTGGGAAGCTGCCGAGAATTACTTTGTGAAGGTAAATGTTTTCAACAAGCGGTGTACAAATTTATTTTATTTTATTTTATTTTATTTTATTTTATTTTATGTACTTACTTATTCATTAATTTATTGGTTAATCCAAAAATTATATCCATTTTAAGTAATTTGTTCAATTTACTGAATATGTATCTCTTCTGGTATACATTCGCCGTTTAAATTTACATCTGTATCAGAACTAATTGTTCTGAAAAGTGTCAAGGCATTTATTAAACGGATATTTATGTGCGTGTTTCCCACACATTTCAGATCATTTTGATTGACCCTGATCCTAATCACAGTGCGGCCAAATGTGTATACAAGTTTATCCAATGTGACATAGAAGACGTGAGTCATGACGATGAAATTGCCAAGAGGGTGGTCCAAATAATTCGCACTCAAGGCCTAGTCGTAGACGGGTGCATGACCGTTGTTGACGAATACGTTCCTCTGACGGCTCTGGTGTGCAAAGAACTGTGTCTGCTTGGTAATACGCCTGAGGCTGCAACAAAATGTAAAAATAAAATATTTACCCAAAAAGCTTTAATGGAAAATGCAACCAGTAGCTCTTTCTTGCCAAACCCTCATCTGTATGCAGTCAAGATACACGAAATTGACCGACCTGAAGATGTGAAGGGATCCTCAAATCATATTCAATACCCGGCAATTTTGAAGCCGGTTTACGGGTCATCTTCCTTTGGAGTATACCTTGTCAAAGACGAGAAAGAATGTCTGAAGTCCTTCGACGCCGTTCAGAAAATCCTAAAAGCTGAGGACGAAAAGGCGTTAGTAATTTGTAACGGCAACGAAATGCATCTAGCCGAGTATGCACTGGGAACGAGGCATGGAGTCGATATCGTCATGTTTCGAGGAAAGATTTTAGCGGCATTCATCTCTGATTGTGGACCTTCCCGCTTTCCACTTTTTATCGAGACTTCATCGTGTATGCCGTCATGTTTACCACTTGACAAGCAACGACAGCTAGTAACGGCCACACAGCAGTGTGTTAGAGCAGTTGGTCTCACTGATGGTGTGTATAATATTGAGTTTAAAATGACACCCACGGGACCAAAATTGACTGAGATCAACGGAAGAATGTCTGGATACCATTACCGGAACTGGATACTTGCCGTCTTCGATACGGATATCCTTTTCCTTAATTTCTTAATTGCATGTGGGATACGGCCCAGCGTCCGGCCATTGGAGCCAAGGTGCCAGCTCATAGGGGTTATGTGTACAACAACAGCCCACGCCAAGGCACTATCGCGGCCGGGCATTGCTACAGCGGAGATCCTTGTCGAGGCTCATGAAGAAGGAGAAATAATTTTCTTTCCAATAGAGCCCAACTTGGAGGAAAAAGAACCCTTTGAGAAGCCATTATTTCATGTAGCTGTTAAGGGGAAATCTGTAAATGAGGCGAAGAAAAAGCTGTTGGCTGTTTGCAGGAAATATGGGATAGAAAACCAACAGTATCCAGTAGAGCGCTTTCTGTCCCCTTTCGTGGAGTTATCTTGGCCATGAAAGGCGAGGACGCAGATGTGGGAAACACAGGGCGTGTTGTTGTGAAAAATTTAGTATCATGAATGTATTAAGAGGCGTCCGTTATTACAAGACACCCGAATGCAAAATAACTAAGGTTTTCTTATGCCTATCAGTAAGTTGATATTTTCATATTCAGTTTCACACACACACACATGACAAAGATGCAGTGATGGAAATCCCTGCACTTGGGCATTGATTTCCTTTTAAAATCTTTTTCCTCTTAAAACTATTATTAAGCCTCTCCAACGTTTCTTTCTTTCATTCCCATTACATTGTCATCTCTTTATTTTAATTATTATAAACATTTTGAAAAAGGGTGCACCATAAACATTACTCAGTGCATATATGGTTTAATGAATAGTGTATGTTGTTTTCGTGGAGTTGTCCTAGCAATATATATGTCGATGCTGTAGCTGTCAAGAAAACAGTGTAGTACCGATAACTACATGTATTAAACCGAAGATCTCCCCATGTTGATTGTGAGGAAGCACGTTATAGACTAAAGTTTGGAACTATTTTGTTTGTCTTTAGCTTTCCAGTAGATAACTATATTATAAAGTAGGTGGCTTATCTCTGATGGAGTTCTTGACAGTTATAAATTGTAACAGGCATCTTTGCTGCTACTTTAAATATAACGAGGATTGTCAGCTACGAGTACAAGTGAGTGTGTGTGTGTGTGTGTGCGTGCGTGTGCGTGTACGAGTACGAGGAAGGATATAGGCGTGTTTGTATATGCTCTAAGTGGCGGATTGAGGCCGTCTTCTGGGTCTTCTTTTCAAGTTTACATTGACGGGTATCTGATATTTTTTCTGTCGGAAGACAGAAATGGAGAATGGATCAACAAAGATAATTTGGACTGTCAGAAAATATCGCTGGATCCGCCTAAGACTTGTACACGAAAGCTTGAGCGCGTGTAAGTAGGCATATGTATATGTAGATATTGTGTGTATATATTTTTTCTTACACTAAATTTGCTGGAATGACAAAAATGAACTTAAGAAACATATATATATTTTATCTTTGGCTTGAAACAAATTACAACAATAATTTCGAAAATACTATTTAGAATATTGTGAATGATTACTAATGAAGAAAAAAGTACAATTAATAAAAATCAGGCGTATTTTATCCGCACCATGGAAATGAACCACAGCATAACTCACCGCTCATATCCTTCATTTCAGACGTCTATCTCAACGTATTCTGACTAGGTGAAGAATTTTTTATTGCATAATTACAAAGCTCAAGTCCTTAACTTATCAAAAATTGCCTTATTTCATTCAAATTCGGTGCTGTGTTAGGCGAAAATTTCCAATCGGTGAGTGTTACATTTGGACCTCAATTTCCTTTCCACTTTTATGTACAAAGTTTGTTACTATAGCAACGTGACAGACATTTTAGTTATGCATCATCCGAAAGGTTTTGGTATGGACCCTTAGATAAAAGGAAGAGTTAAAGCTGAAATGTAAAACCGTTATAGGGTTTTCAAACAACTTTCACTACTTCCGTTACAATATTTTGTGTAGTCAGGACCCCCAAATTTCAGATGTCAATATCTATGTTTTTCAAAAATTTTCAGATTTTTTGAAGGTGTGATTTCAACATTGTTTGTTATAGTTATCAAACAAAAAAATATTGGTTGAATCTGTCGACCCTCACCCACCTTGCCACATTTTGACTGATTTGGTTGTCTTCTCGTGAAATGGCATCTAAAGTTCTAATATTTAATATTACTCTTCAGAAAGAAACAAAACGTGACTTGAACTGATTTCATTATATCATACTTGTCATATGTGGTAATGCAATTTTTTTTCATTTTGCATAGTCCCATAATACAGAGCAGTGCATTACAATACAGTCATTTTTGTTTGATATTTGTTTGATGCAGCTGCTCTAGTGACTTAATTGCTCAAGAATCGCACAAGATAAAACTTATTTTAGAGTCTTGGACTGCCAGTCAGATAAGATAAAAAAAAAACAATCGTCTTAAACAATTATAAATTATAAGTATTGGATAATTAAAGACATTTATAAAGAAGATGTATGCCAGGAATAATAGTTCAAATTTTGGTGAATAAAACGAATATTTTGATTCATCCTCTCACAGTTGTCATGTCACAATCGGCTGACTGAATCAGATTTTGTTAGATGTGTCTCAGGGCCGGTGGCGAAGCAATTATAATGGGGGGTGGAAGCCGTTTTAAGTCTACAGCATACATGGTATTATAGCATTTGGATCATCTTGGATCTCTAAGACGCTTAATGACAGAGAGATTGAGAAAATCTTACATTTTATAAATAACTCATCAAAAAATATGTTCTAGGAGCATAATGACTATCCTCTTAAAGACACATCATCAGACTATGCTGTATGTTCAGCCGCTGAATTCATTTTGTTCAATCCACTCAATTAAAATGCCAATCAGAAGCTGTTTGTAATTAAAATTCAGTTTCAGTGTTTACCTTTTGTACTAGCACCATTGAGCTGTTTTTCAAAGAGATAAACTATTTAATCGAGCCTAACCTGAACATTTTTTTGTTTTTGAAAAAAATATTGTCACTATCAAATAATATACACGGTACCGGTATATTCCATATCATAATTTTGAATCCTACAGACACCCTTCCCTAATCTATCAATTGCCTTTATTCTTATAGCAAATGTCATGCTTCCTCCAACGAAAATTCTTCAACTTGTACTGGTACAGTAAGTCTATTCAAACGCGTCACTTCCCTCTTTGCCAACTTTTCGTTTTCCGTCGATGCTCTGTCTTCGCCAGCCATCCTGTAAAGCTTTGCCAATTCCTTGTAAACTGTGAACGGCATTTTAGACCTTGGCCATTGCTCATGAACCTGTGGAGTTAAATTGGCAGCTTCTTGCAAGTTGGACAGACTTTGTTCATATAAATTGCGACATTGGTCACAGCGTAGAACTCCTTGGCGTGGTCTACCAGTCGCCTTGGGCATGGTGTTCTGTTCATCCGTGGACAAAATACCAACATGGCGTCCAAACACTTGTTCACACCCATTGCTGTTATTTTCAGCAACCGCTGTTCGTCCATTTGGTGCCACGTTTTCTTGGTCAACTCGTTGAGCCACTGCCTCGTATATTTGCTCAGCCTGTGCCTGTCCTAAATGAAGCAGGTGTTCAACCAATGTGAAATGATTAGGTGTATGTTCTCTCCGGGTATCAACAGCTTTCTGAAAGTAACCCTCAGCTTTAAGAAACTCCTTGTTCATCATACAAACAAGTCCAAAATTATCATAAATGAGAGCTATATCTGTCGTCTTCCCAATTTTCTGACACATAGCAAATGCCTCCTGCAGCATAGGCAAAGCTCTCTTAGTATCTCCTTTTTTGACGTAAAGCATCGCTGTATTACTTAGAGAGTCAACCACGGCTAAATTGGATTGCTTCATAAACTTTCGTTTGTATTTCAGACCAAGTTCAAAATTCTTCAGCGCTCGGTCATCATCTCCCTGCTCAAGATATGTCAATCCCATATTGTTGTAGATACTCCCGATGGAAGGATGTTCTCCAAAGTTGGACACCCGTAACTTTAAGGAGTGCATAAAATAACGTATGGCCTCCTCTAGCTTTCCTGAAATTATCATTATTATATTAAAAAAGGGTGATTTCACTCCTTCTCTAGCTAATAAAATACAAAAAAATAGATGATAAACACATATATTGCTACACGGGCTGGACGGCTTACTAGTACAAACTAAAATCTATCCCCATATACAGCCCCATTTCTTGAATAAGAAAATTTATTGCTTTCTTTTCCTGTTTATTTCTTTTACATTATTCAAAGCGATGATAATTATGTGACGTGATAATTTTACTCAACCATCCCTGTAGAGACAAGCCCCAAGATCGAGAGTGTTTGGCACATAACAACGTTTGTGTGCATACCCCCCTCCTCTTCCAGTTTGTATGCCTCCTGAAGATACCTGTGAATAAAACGCCATCTATGTTAAAGGAAACACATAATTGATACTACAAAAGCACTCAGAGGGCGTAAACCTCCGCCACGGAAACTGGTAGATAACAACAGAGAAGCATATTCCTTTTTTAAGGAAACTTCGGTTGTGGTCACCTTTACAGCATCACGTTAAATGTTCATTTTATTCAGAATCAGAATTTCTGCACGTTGCACGGTCTGCACTGCGTTGCTTGTTTTTATTTTTTTTTTTTCAGAATCTTAAAAGAAAGTATGAACAATTGACATTGCATTACCTAGAAAAACTTTTCATAGAGAAATTTATGTCTAAAAATTACAAAGCAGCAAGTATATACGGTTTGAAGGAAAGGTCGGTTGTTTGTACCTTTTAACCCAATGTGATACATCTTACGGCACAAATGTGGTCGTCATATATGATCGTTCTAAATTGATAATTCTGATGCAAGAGCTCAGGCCAGAGCATACACATAACGTGTGTGGCGTGTACCATAAAATAGATCAAAGTATTTTTATTACAATTTACGTAGCTTCGAGCAAAAGACTTTCGCTGGTTACCCATATAAACAAAAGTATACTTTCATCTTAAAATCTTCAAAGAAAAACGTACTGTTGTGACTTATTCAGGTCGCCAGTCTTGTAGTAATTCCAACCCAGATGCTGATACAGAGAGGCCATGTCTACAGGAGTACCCTTGGCGGAAAGAATGAACCTCGCCTTCTCATAATAAGCTATGCCTTTTCGTATATCACCCTGAAATATTACAGTCAAAACATCGATATTAGTTGGTTGTGATCATATTTAATACTAAAATCAGTTTAACACAACGCTAGAGGACTCACGATTGAATATAGTTGCAACTGAGTGAAAGGGATAAATATACAAAAAACAAATCAACAATAAAAAAACAAACAAACAAACAAACAAACAAACAAATGGCACTGATATAAATTTATACATACAAATACAATTCATTGCCGAAGCAAATGTTATAACATTACATAAAATAAGTAGGGTCATTTTAAACCAAACTGGACACAAAACGTACGATATCAGGGATGAATATAAAATTCCTCGCAATAACTTCCCACTCTTCGTGAGCTGAAACTCCCATCAAACCCAATAATAAGAGAGATAATCATAAATATCTCATAAATTTAGAAAGTCTTGCAAATCAAATGATTATTTATGTACCTCAATATTGGTCACCGCTTGTGCATATGCAGATAGCATAAGTCCATGATGTCTGTGGTCGGCACCATCAAACATTCTAGACTGCTCCATCATGTCTTCATAGAAGCCAATGCTATCCTCTGCATAATAAATAACTTATCCATAATATTAATAGTACGGTTAGTGAAACATGTTTCTAAAATATATAAACAAAAGTTATGTATTTGAGATTCTTGAATTATTATACCATAAACATCTGCATGCTTTAATTCACCCTACTAAATGGCCTTCGAATTAATTCTTTTCAATGGATGACATGGCAAAAAAAAAACAGCAAATACATATTCACAAGCAAATCAGCAAATACTTTCATATGCATAAAACTTTACAGACAAGATACAAAACACCAAATCAAACAAATTAACTACAGTGCTTGTATACTTGTGACTTGACCCATTTCTAGGATAGAATAATAAAAAATAAAACATAACTTACTTTGGAAAAAGTTGATGATAGGGTATTCTGCCAACATAGCCACTTTGATAAAACTTTTGTAGCTGTCTTCAGTACAATGCATCGCCTGAGTGAGCAGCTTCTCCAAGTTCTTCCATTCCACGTCCATGGTGGCAGTGGCAGTGCTTGAGTTCTTGGACTGCATTTGGTTATTAACACACTGAAGAATATCTGCGAAAAACTTACTATAACGGAGCCTAACCTCTGGAAAGAACACAGTATGTTGACTTTAGAATGAGACGATTGAGGGCTTATTTATAATGAAACTATTGTTTTACGTAGATCGACTCAACTCCGTCAGGTTTCTTCTTTATATGCAATCAGATTAACATATAAACACGTCTCCTCTTTTTTCCAACATGCCCGTTTAATGGCCAACTTTCCTGTATTATTTTCAACGCCAAGTGGAGTCGCGTAAATCTGTTAATCTGCTTGCACTGAGCAAGAGGTCCCGTGGAATTTGATCGATCTACGTATAGCGATAGTTTCATTAAAAATGATCCCTTATACTCAAAACGATTTAGTCCTGTATTAATTTAATATTACCATAAACTTAGTAATTCTCGTAACTGCAGATAAATGGATATCATATGGCACACTCTACCTGTGTTCAGAAACCTTTTAATACTTTGACAGAACTAACCTGGTAATTCCCTTATCCGCACATGCTTTTCCACATATTCTCTTATTAACGAGTGGATGTCATATCTCATCTTTTGCCTCTGTACTAAGGACAATCCTGCTGATTCTTCATGTATAATGGACACTCTTGATAGTTCCTTCACGACTTTAACGCCACCAGTTTCTTGCTTGATGCCTATGATATATATATATATATATATATATATATATATATATATATATATATATATATATATATATTAAATTGGGAACACCAGTCTCATTGACGTGTATTAAAAACAGTGTTAGTATTGATAAGGATATGAACCAAGCTTCTTCAACTCTTACCATGTGCAATACGCTACAAGATATAATAGCAGACTTTTAACCTTCAATATGCACCATGTCTTTACTTGTATAAAATGAAAGTTCAGTGTCTACTGAGAGAGAGAAAGAGGAGGAAAAGAGAGAGTTAGGGTTAGAGTTAGGTTAGGGTTAGAGTGAAACAAAATAGACATTTATACACTCCAAATGCATCTTGTAATATAATAAACAGAGGTTTTCTTCAGATACAGTGATATCTCTCTTCATACCACTCATCTTACACTTTTTTATATCGATCAAGTCAGACCATTTCATTCGAGTGTCTGTGATCTTTGGAAATGACACAGCTGATATCAATACCATATACAAAAGAACTGTACGTTCAAGCTCCCAGGTTTTTGCTTCATCAGTGTCACCGACTTTCACCAGGCGTAATGGTGATTTCAAAATTCGTCTTCTCGCTTTTGTCTCGGATGGCTGTATACATGTATTAGACAAAATGACATATTCAAGATGTATCTAACCATACCCAAAACTGCAGCAACGGCCTCTTTGCTGAAATGACCAGGGATGTAACCTATGGCCCCTAAGTGCTGTCTGAAAACTTCCGTCAGTCGGGCAAGGTGATTTCTTATCACTTTATCTAAAATAATAATAAAAACACATACCGTATATATAAACTAAATAAAAACATCTTTTATATATCGTCTTAACTTTATTTATACTTAGTTAAAATGTTGACGTGTGATTTTTCCGATATGATCACTAAATAAAAATAATACTATATTAAATTTCTTCTACATTGTATTTGACTATTTTTAAAGAGAGCTAAAGGAACTCGAAAGGGTGAAATTATTATTCCAACATATATGATTTTTATAAACACATTTTGTCATCCTATATATACCTTATTTTGTGTCTTAACAAATCACAGTATTATTGATAATTGTCTGACCGTTTCATTCTCCAAAGTAAACCTACCTATTATCTCAGAGTCAGAGAAACTATCGTCACTGAGAGCTTTCAGCCGCTCTTCCTTCATGAGGTCCAACATTTCACTTGGGCTCAGAATACCATCGCGTAGTACGCTCCCTAGAAAAATTCGAGGTACATATTCTGAAGAAAATATTTTAACAAAATGAATAAATTATTTAATAGAAAAGTAATGTTCAGAAAGTAAATATGTAGTAATAAAAACCCGGGAGCCTTAACAAAAGTGAATGGCCCTGAATGGCCCTCTAAATATAGAGGGATTTTTTTTCCAAAAAATAAAGATTATTATTATTTTTTGGTTGTGTTATAGTTTATATTAAAGGGAGATGTTTATATTGGTTAGAATAACAGTTGTATACACAAGTTGTGCGATATATTACTTTTAAAAATGCAAACAGTATATATTTGACTTACCTACAATGATTAAAGCAAGAGGCAATCTTGCACATTGTTCTGCAAGTTTAGTCAAAGTATTTTCGTCTTTAAATGAACCCTCATTTTCTGCATCGGAGTGGGAAAAAATGTCAAGTAATAACGCTTTTGCGTCTGAAATACAAAGTGGCATTAAACTCAGCTCAAAATATATTCTATTCAGTCTTGCAAATTGTAACTTGGTGCGAGAAACGATGAAGACCCTCACATCAGGGCACTCGTTTATGACATCAAACACAAACGTGAGCAGCACATTCTGCAGGTCATGGCTGACACTTCTCGTAGTTGCCGCAGACTCGGCGATGTGTTCGCATTTTTCAAAAATCAGCACACATGGCGTAATATTTTTCAAATGTGCGATGATTTGTCGCTGCAGCAGACGCTCAGTTGTTGATTCGATGGTAAGCAAAGGATCTGTTTTTTCTAATAATTCAAGAGCAACATATTTAAAGAAGTCTTTTGCGCTGTTTACACTTTGCATCGACACGAATGAGGTGCATAGGCTACCATTGTACCTCTTTGCAGACACCTGTCTCAAAATCTCCCGCGTTAAGCTTGCCTTTCCAATGCCGGGAGGACCATAGATACCAAATATCCGATGCTGTGTCCAAGAATCTGTAATAAGCTTTGTTTCTTTTTCTCGGCCGATGAAGGTAGGGCGTTCTAAATGGATCGCCATGTTGTTTACGTCATCTGCAAATAAAATGTGACCTTACTGCAATAAAATAATTAGCTGTGATTATTCAACTGCGTGCAACAGGTTTCTGCCTTGTGAATTAGCAATCCTACATGTATATGTAAAATTACATGGGTATTAATCTTTTTATTTGGATTCACCTAAGTGAATCTAATTTTACCTTTTTTGAAAGGATGCAGATGACAGTATATGTTGTATCAAAACAGAGGTGTCTTCTAGTGGGGAAGTCTATGAAGATTGGGACAATGTGTAAATTGGGTAATGCACATGTATACATTCCTCTCCTTTGTACGTTCCCACGTTAATATCTACCAGTCACACAGGGAGCACATTTTAATTGAGGGTTGGGTGAGGGGGTAACCATTCAAAACGGCGATTGCGGCATAATCTTCTATGGCTTCATCTTATTTCATCTGCGTACAATATATAGGCCTACTATAATATGACTGACGTGGTTGAAAAATGTGCCGGGAGGGGGTAATGTCCTACACGAGTAGCTAGCGTTTGAGACTCGCCCTCAGGTCTCTCGATCTCATTCAGAGTCAGTCGGTATTGTCGGGAGAGCCCCAGTTTGGGAGGTGGATCCCAGTGGATAACAGACCAGGCTATAAATTGTGGAAATTAGTTTCGGCACAGCGGTCTCAAGTTATCGATCACTTTTAGCTCGTGCTAATATTTATTATGACAATTTCTTTTAAGTTTGATATTTTTAATGAAATTAGTATCAGTATGAAAAAAATTGCTACGTTTAATACAATTGGAGGATTTGCAAAAAATCATCTGTACACATGCTCAGAAATGTGTTATTACAGAAATTGAACAGAGAGCTATAATTTGAGAATTTGAACTGAATGTGGGTTTGGCCTTTGACATATGTTTTCAATTAAATTAAATTAAATTCAGGTTTACTTTTATGACATTTTATTGGTAACCCCGCAAAATCTCAGAACTTTCATATATATACGTCATACCGCTAAACACATCCAGGTTACAGGCATGTACCGTGTTTAGGAGCTAAACGAGCTTAGGCGCTTACTGTCATACCTTGCATAACAATAAACTGCATTACAAGTACAATCATAATTCTATACTAGTAACGATGCCCTACACCTTTTTACCTACGCAAAAGCTATCACAGGATGTATATTGACCGAGTGAATTGTTTAATAATGAACGTGTTTTTGGTTAAGTTTAACAGATCAGTTTTAAGAGTGTGCTAATTTTTGAAAGTGACCTGTCATTTCAACACCAAAGAAACCCAGTAGAATTACAGTATAATATTGTTTGCAGTTATATATATATATATATATATATATATATATATATATATATATATATAAATAACTGCAAACAATATTATACTGTTATAATCCACTTAATTTTTGTGTGTTTTAGGGGGGTTCTGAAGAACAATGCTACATATCTAAAGTAATAGTAAGGTGTC